GGAGTATAAATGAAATAAGATAGACTATTTGTTGGTAATTTTTGAAGTTGATTGTATGTGGTGATTTGTAAAATAATTCTCTCGTGTTTGAAATTTTTCATTATGAAATTTTCCATTAAGTAAGTATTCTAGACCAGGCTCAATGACTCATGCTTGTAATCCCAGCACTTTGGGAAGCTGAGGCAGGCGGATCACCTGAGGTCAGGAGTTTGAGACCAGCCTGGCCAACATGGGAAACCCCATCTCTACTGAAAACACAAACATTAACTGGGCATGGTGGTGCACACATGTAGTCCCAAGTACTTGGTAGGCTGAGGCAGGAGAATCACTGGAACCCAGGAGGTGGAGGTTGCAGTGAACCGAGATTGCACCACTGCACTCCAGCCTGGGTGACAGAGCAATACTAAGTCTCAAAACAAAACAAAAAACGGATTCTAAAGTAATTTTTTTTTTTTTTTTATACTCTGTCTGTCTCCCAGGCTAGAATACAGTGGCGCAATCTCGGCTCACTGCAATCTCAGCCTCCCAAGTAGCTGGGACTACAGACGCAGGTCACTACACCTGGCTAATTTCTGTATTTTTAGTAGAGACAGGGTTTCGCCATGTTAGCCAGGGTGGTCTTGAACTCCTGACCTCAGGTGATACACCTGCCTTAGCCTTTCAAATTGTTGGGATTACTGGTGTGAGCCACTGCACCCGGCCTAAAGTGGTTTATATCCTCAGCAAATTTGGAAACAAACTCAGCAAATATTATTTGAGTTTCTGGTATGTGCTACCACAAAACTAGACACTAAATATCAAATACTAGGTTAGGCAAAGCTCCTCACTTTATGGAATTTAACCACATGAGCTGCAAATAACATAATTTCATATAGTGACAACTGCTCTGACAAAGTAAACTGGAACGATCAAGTGCAGTGTAACTGGGATGGTAGCCTGGGTACAAGGTGCTATATTAAGTAGAGTGCTGAAAGAAACCATCTCTGAGGGGGTGACATTTGAGTAATGACCTGAATGATGAGAAGGGGCCAGTCATGATAATATCTGGGGATGAGTATTCCAGGTGGACAAAACAGCAAGTGTAATGGCAAGTGTGAGCTTAAAAGTTACAGAAGTAAGCATGAAAGCCAGTGTGGCTGGACATAGTGATTGAGAGGGAGAGTACAGGAAATGAAGTCTGAGATACAGATAGAAGCCAAATTATGTGGGGCTTTGTACGATATAGAAAAGAATTTTGAATTTATTCCATGCTCATTAAAGCCAGTGGAGGAGTTTAGATAAGGGAGTGTTATGATCTGATTTTCATTTTCGAAGGCCATTCTAATTGTTTCTTGGAGAACCGAAGGATGTTAAGAGTGGAAGCGAGGATACTAACTGGTTAATAGACTAAAGACAAAGTGAGATGAAGGTGCCTTGGACTTGTGGAATTCGTGGAAGGGATCAGGTGTAGGATAAATTTTGAAGGTAAAAGAAAAATGTAGGTATAAAACATCCCAGGATAATAGCACGTGAAACAGTTTAAAGAGATTAATTTGGAATTTGAGACCAGGCTAGGCAAAATAGTGAGACCCTGTCTCTATAAAAAAATATTTTAACTTAGCTGGGTGTGGTGGTATGTGCCTATAGTAGTTCCACCTACTCAGGAGGCTGAAACAGGAGGGTTTGAGGCCAGAAGTTTGAGGTTGCAGTGATCTATGATAAGTGCCATTGTACTCCGGCTTAAATAACAGAGTGAGACTCCATTTCTAAAAAAAAAAAGGTGAACTGGTGAGGTGGCATGGGGCGGGCAGTAGATTACTTTTTAGAGATTATAAGCCTTGTGATATTTGACATTTTAAATCATTGTGATTACAATCATGGTTAAAACAGTAAACATGTCCCTTCAGAAAACTACAGAGAAACATCTCCTTTTAGTATAGTATATGTTTTAATTATAAGATTCAATTAAGCACTCATTGTATGTGCCACAGTATACAGAAAAGCTCTTTTGTGTATGTTAGATTGAGTTCCTACAGGGTAAGGATCATAGTAATTTCCATATTTTTAGAATTTGCTGGGCTTGATGGCTCATGCCTGTAATCTTAGCACTTTAGGAGGCCAAAGTGAACCAATTGCTTGAGCTAAGATATTTGAGACCAGCCTGGGTAACATGGCAAAACCCTGTCTCTACCAAGATTACGAAAATTAGCCCTTGGTCCCAGCTATTCCGGAGGCTAAGGTGGGAGGATTGCTGGAGCCTGGGAAGTTGAATCTGTAGTGAGCTGTGATCACGCCACTGCACTCCAGCCTGGGTGACAGAGAGAGACTTTTTTTTTTTTTTTTTTTTGAAACAGAGTCTTGCTCTGTCATCCAGGCTGGAGTGCAGTGGTGCAATCTCGACTCACTGCACCCTCCGCCTCCTGGGTACAAGCGATTCTCCTGCCTCAACCTGCCAAGTAGCTAGGATTACAGACACCTGCCACCACGCCCAACTAATTTTTGTATTTTTAGTAGAGACAGGGTTTCTGCATGTTGGCCAGGCTGGTTTCCAACTCCTGACCCCAAATGATCCGCCCGCCTCAGCCTCCCAAAGTTCTGGAATTAAAGGTGTGAGCCACCATCCCCGGCCAACTCTGTTTCAAAAAAAATAATTAATTAAAAAAAACTACAGTTTGACTCAGTGTCTGGTTCCTCATGGGGTGAGCCCCAAACTAGGTCTGCAGTTTATTTAGAATAATTATAGAAACTGAGGACAAAGAGGAGCAAACCATGGGATCTTTACTTATTCTCCTTGACTTAACTCTGTAAACTCAGACTACTTCCTAGAATAATGGGGGTTTTCAGATTGGAATTTTTAAAAATATCCAATCTGTTGCGGTGTTTTGTTTTGTTTTTGAGATAGAGTGTTGCTCTGTCACTCAGGCTGGAGTGCCGTGGTGTGATCTTGGTTCACTGCAACCTCCACCTTCTGGGTTCTAGAGATCCTTCTGCCTCAGCCTCTCAAGGAGCTGGGATTACAAGTGTATGCCACCACACCCAGCTAATTTTTGTATTTTTAGTGAACACGGTGTTTCACCATGTTGACCAGGCTGGTCTCGAACTCCTGACCTCAAGTTATCCACTTGCCTCGGCCTCCCAAAGTGCTGGAATTACAGGTGTGAGCCACCATGCCCTTGTTCTGCCCTTTTTTTTTTTTTTTTAACTTTAGAAACAGATCTGAGTTAATGGATAGAATGAAGTTAATTGCTTTTTCAGAGCAATTAATTAACTGATCTCACCACATAACTAGATGTAAATCTAATCTTTGTTCAGCATCGATTTGGGTTGTTGATTTGGAATAAATACTTTCTCCAGTGTTATCTATGGTGGTTTTGGTGCTTCTCTGGGATTCTTCTCGCACATTTGGTCTGATTCGTGCTCTGGTTCCCACTGCTGAGTATTCACAGATGAAACCCAACTCTGGGGCTTCCAGTCCCCCTTAGATGTCTTGTTGGATCAGTGTTTCTGATGTTGAAGCAGTCTGTGAAAGATAAATTTATTTGCCTTGCAGCTTAATTGGTTATTGATTACCTTTTCCCAGCAGTGAGTAGTGGTATGTAGTATTTATAGAGACTTTCTTTTAAAATGATCCATATTTTTCTTTAGAAGCTGTGCTTTGGACATACCTAATAATACTTGGCATATTAGAAGCATTTTAAATTTTTTATTTAATCTTTTGTTGAGATTTGGCATTTTTATTTATTTCTTTTTCTTCCCCCTAAAGAGCATAGACATTTATTTATTTATTTTGACTTATAAACAACAGAAATTTATTTCTCATTGTTCTGAGGGCTGGAAACTCCAAGATTGAGACACCAGCAGATGTAATGTCTTGTAAGGGCCCATTTCCTGGTTCATAGTTGATGCCTCTTCGTTGTGTCCTCACATGGTGAAAGGAGCTATCTAGCGCTTGGTGTTATTTTATTAAGGACCCTTGTAATCTTTAATGTTTTGGATTTGTTCTTTTTCAGTTTTGGTTTTCGCTTCCTAGGTTAGACACCAAGACAGATATTTTTAAATCCTTGAGGCCAGGTGCAGTGGCTCACGCCTGTAATCCCAGCACTTGGGGAGGTCAAGGCAGGCAGATCACCTGAGGTCAGGAGTTTGAGACCAGCCTGTCCAACATGGTGAAACCCCATCTCTACTAAAAATACAAAAACTAGCCAGCCATGATGGCACATGCCTGTAATCCCAGCTACTCAGGAGGCTGAGGCAGGAGAATCGCCTGAACCTGGGAGGCGGAGGTTACGGTGAGCCGAGATCACGCCACTACACTCCAGCCTGG